TTTTTTTTTTTTTTTTTTTTTTTTTTTTTTTTTTTTTTTTTTTTTTTTTTTTTTTTTTTTTTTTTTTTTTTTTTTTTTTTTTTTTTGTGCAAATGCTCGAATTTGATGGGCCTGACATGCTTGGGCTCATGGGCACATGCGCTCGTGATTGATCAACCTATAACAAAGCTTCATAATTAACTAGGTACTTTGAAAAGTGTAATAGATTTTTTCTTACAATTTTGTGTTGACCAAATGGATAGATAGATTACTTAACCGAAATTTGATCGGGCGAACAAAAATAGGTTGCGAATGGTGGTCGTGATAGGTTTGAGGATCTTACACGACAAAGCGAACTCCTCTATCGTCTTGCATTTCCTCTAGTTGACCCCCTTGATCCATCGTACTAAATCGATCCCAGAAGAACAATTAGAGTCATATTCTATTTTTTCGGTCTATTTTGTTAATAATAATTTTTTTAAAAAAAATAAAAGATAAATTCCAAACAAATTTTAATTATTTTCTATCTATTTTTTAATTTTAATAATACAATAAAATATGTTTAAACCCAATTAAAATTATAATATTTAAAATTAGGAGGACCAAATTTTAAAAGAAAAAATTATGGGCCGACAAATGGGCCTTGAGAAGTAGGACACGTGCCTCGCACGTTGCAACGTGCATGGCTCCTCCGCCGCCACGCTCACCGAAGAGCACCAGAAACAGACCGACGCCGTCTCCTTAAGAGCTCAACGCCGATCCCATTATACATTGAATAAATAAATAAATAATCGAAAAAAAAAGGCAAAGCAATAACAAAGGTAATAATGTCGGCGCCTCAGCGACCCAGAGATATCAGCAAGGTGGCTCGAGGCGAGCAAGCCCCAAGGCCCGTTCACGAATACGGCACCGTTTCGAAGCCTCCGCCGCCTTCTTCCTCCTCCTCCGCTTCCTCCGCCCAGACCAACCTTGACGGTAACGGCAATCACCGCCACGGTGGCAAAGACGAATACGGTAAGGTCGGAAATTTTTTTAAAAGTAAATTAACGTTTAAATGTCTTAATATTTCTTATTAGATGAACAATATTCTCTACCATAATATGATATTATCCACTTTGATTATAAGCTCTCATGGCTTTACTGAATTTCTCAAACGCTTCACGCCCAATAAAATATATTTCTTAATTTTAAACATTAAAATTAATATTGTAATTGTGAATGTTTGATTAATCCACCACACCTAAATGGTGTGAAAGTTATCTTATTTATGAATTACAAGGATATGGAAATAGTAATAAATGGAAATAATAAAGATAGCAAATATTAAATATTTGTCTTATAATAAAATATCAAATATAATATATATGGTAAACTATAATTTATTACTAAATATTCTTAATCCTAATAGTAGTTTTTTAGGTGAGCAATGGAATCCAACATTAAAAAAAACAAAATTTATAATAATAGTATTTTAATTTTTTATAATTATGGAAGGGTATTAATAATTTTTTAAAAAATTTAAGAATATTTTTTAAATAATGATTTAAGTATTTATTATGTTTTTAAAAGTAAGTAATATTGTATAATGAGGGTGTAGTAGGTGGTGGTGGAAGAGGGAGTAGAGACGGCACCAAATGATATGCGGTTTCCTTTCACCAACCAAACACGGCACTGTTACACACGCTATTTGGAATACCATAGGTAAATTATAATTACTATATACTTCATTATTAATTCATAACCTTGTACCACGTTTAATTTATTTTAGTTTAATTGTTTCAGCTGCCTACAGAAGAAGGGGGAACACGTGCCTGAATGCGACAAGTTCGCCAAATATTACCGTTCTCTATGCCCCGCTCAATGGGTACCTCACATTTAAATTTTTTAAAATTATGTTCAACAATATTTTATTATCTATTTCATTTAGTTTTTGTTGTTGTAGATTGAGAAATGGAACGAGCAAAGGGAGCTTGGCATCTTCCCTGGTTCGATATAAAGTTGTTAAGGTTGTGTTTGAATAAAGAATGAATAGTACCAGTCGAAGCAGTTTATTCTCAAGAATTTACGTCCATACTTCTTTCCCAACTTAGGTTTTTAAGTAGTTTAGAGTAAGAAATGTAGCTCGATAAGCACGCACGTTCTACTGCTGAGTTAGTAGCACGTCAGGATTTGCAGAAATTTTATCCCTTTATTTCCTTTTTTCGCTTCCATGTTTAGAACGAATGCGCTCTTGGTTTGTAGTTAGGACGATAAAATTGTCGTTTTTATTTATAAATATCAAAAAGTGGCAATTAGTCGTGTAAGGGTTTAAAATTGGGTATCTAATAATCTCTCTTAGACTAGCATGAAGCATTCCTTCTATGGATATGTTGAAAATTTTGTACACAATCTTGGGTAAGATTTACCCACGTGGGTTCGGGTCTAATTTGGTCGGGCTGAACACGTAAACAGAAAAGAAAAGGCTTGCATGATATCATGACAAACATAAATATCGAAATTACGCGTCCGTACTAGCATAAAATAACGGAGAAATATTGTGATGCATAATGATATATAGAGATCTCCATGATTTTCAGTCATAGCATAATATTAATACCATCTTTTTCTCCTTTCATCCTCCATAATATATTACATATATGCATTATGTACTTAGCGGTCATCTCATCTCATTTCATTGCATTCCTTATGACGTAATGGATATCACATGCATATATATCATAGCATCATGTCATTACATAGAATACAATCACAAAACATAAATAATATGGTGCACGGCCACGGGCCATGCACCGTCATACATCATTTAGTTATCTAACTCCATCAGTAAGGTCACTTGTATGGTTGACCTTGACCGAAGTTTCTAATTACTCTGTAGCTACTTCAAGACTATACTTCACTGTTTAATTTCTACTATGTCAATCCATATCACATACTTAGGATCCATATCTTGGTCTAGCTAAACATGATGACTATATCTAATATAAGTTCTATAACTATCTAAAATTGAGCAAACAGGAATCTTACTGACCTTAATTGTCTTTAATAAGGTAAACATGACTTCAGGAGGGTTAGAAACTTAGGTAACGGTATAAAATTTGTATACCGAACCATCTAAGCCGAGAAGCTGAGCTAACCAAGCAGCCATGCAAGCAGATGTTGAGTGAAATTGAGCCGTGATTGGGGGAGATCACGCGTCGAGCACGTGCACAATCGAAGGAGAGGCGCGAGTTTTCGGGTCGACAATTGGATCAGGCCTCACGTGTTTGGTTATGGTTTGTGAGCAGTTGGACCGTTGGGGGCGTGGACCTCTGGGTTTTAGCTAAAGCGGGTTGGGGCATCTTCGAGGGCTATACCCGAGTTCGAATATTCTACCCGACTGCAACTACTCATCTTCTTCACCCAATAGGTACTAACAAACCCTTCGATTTGTGACACATTCTGCGTCTGATTCCACTACCAACGGTGACAATGAAACTTTTGGTTGTCTATTACGCCCACCACTACGTCGAGGTTAGAGGGGGAAGAGTTCACATCATTGGTGCCGGTGAGTTTTCCTCTCTCTCTCTCTCAAAATTTTTGACGAGATTTGAATTGCGATTTTTTGCGATGTTGAATTTTTTTTCAAGTCGTTACAAAAGCAAACCTCAGGATGTGTGAAGTTGATTTACATATGTATAAAAATTTTCGACAAAGATAATTTTTTGATTGTTCAACACAATAAAATGTAGGTGTTATAAATCATTATTGTTAGACGAACACGATTCTCTTCAATGGTATGAAGCTCTCATGACTTTACAGTGGGCTTCCCAAGAAAAAGTATTCCTTGATTATAAACACATGATCAATCCTTAAATTAGCGAGACCTTCATCCAACAATTATAACTTTAAAATACATGTAAATCAGATAATATCTTATTTGTTCGATGTTGACATCAATATATAATATATTTAATCAGTTAACGACATATTTGAAATGAATAAATTTAATAGAAATGGTTCGGTCAATTTAATAGTATTTTATTATTTTTCTCTGTTTCAGTGCATTCAAGTCCAATTATTTTAGACGAACCCATTATTTATATTGATTGCACCATTGTTCAAAAAAAAAAAAAAAAAAAA